ATATATAGATAGATAGATGCTTGTGTCTCTCTGGGAGCTGTTATCGGCATTGTTGTTGTTGTCATTAATTCTTTGAGAGCACTACTTTTAATGCTGAAACACCACTGTGTTTGAGTACGTGTTTTTTGCTTTGCCCTGACTACCGCCTACGCGTCATTTTGCAATGTGTTGGTCGTTACACTATGTGCGATCACTCTACTGCTTCTGTCAGTTGTCATCGTCATCGGTGGCCCATATTAACCCACTTTAGCACGTACTTTCCTCTCGCTGAGGATCAACGCCGATTACGTTACTGTGCAACTTTTTTTTTCTATACTGTATTAGCCTCATAGTGTTTCTTCCGTGGTTGTGCCTGCTTTACCGATAAGCTATAGTGAATGAACAAATTGTATACTACGCATTTTTCGGCAACGGAAAGCTTGGAGACGTCCCAGAAGGAGGCTAGCTTATTGGAGGTACTGGTAATTTCAACTGATATAAAAGGAAGCAAAATGGTAACGTCTTTTCCGAGCTATTATTTTATGTCGCTCCGTCAATACACGTAGATACGTGCGTGCATTGACAGACGGTGTCATGCCTCGAGACGGGTACGGGGCGTAAAGATACGGTGTCGCATCACCGATCACGGTACGTGTTGCTGTGAGCTTGAAACGCTGTTAGATGGGCAGAAGCTGCTACACAGGGTGCGCCTGTTGCAGGGGTCACGCGGAGTACTTTATCGTAATGTTTTGCGGGAAGGCGCCACCAGAACACTGGGAACTGAAGAGAATGGTGTTTTTAATAACATGTCACTCAAAGGATCAACATTTGGTAAGCGCGTCATGGCAATGCGTGGATTTGAACTAATGTATTAAGATTTAGCCAAGATAATATTCTGCTTGTGGCCTGTTTATATTTTTTTTCGTTGTTGATGTGAGTAAGCTTGTCAGTAACAGATCGGTCAGCACACATCAACTGGAGTCGATAAAGGCTTTCTAGCTATACTTCTGTATATCCCGATTTTAGCATCTTAGGTGCGTTATTTAAACAATTGGATAAATAGAGTACTTTGCTATACGTGCTTTGTGTGCATGGTTAACAAACGTCTCAACTTGAATAGTCAGTAACTTGAACAGGCATCAATTAAATAGTTGTTAATAATCACCGTTCAAATGATTGAAACACGACAAATGGCGGACCTACGAATTATTAGCTTGTTACGAGGCAACGCTGTACAATCGGATCGTGCGGATCCGCAACTAGTTCAAAATGAAGATGCCCTACTCAAACCGCTGCAGTCACACTTGTCTCAAATGCAGCAGCGAGCATGTAGGACACGGTATTTTCTATAACAGAACGATTACAGTAAAACGAAAATCTCTCAACAATAAAAGAAGGTATTTTTAATTCTTATCTCGAAACACTCAGGTTAGCCGTTGTCGTGGTACGCTCAAACATGTGAATTTGACGGGAAAAAAAAAATCCAGTGACGCGCATAGATGGTCTCCATTTTCATAACGTACTATAGCAGACAGCTCGGTAAGCGGACTAATAGGCTGGCGAAGGTTTTCAACGTAAATTATTTCTCCACTGAGCACTGAAGCTTCTGAGAACTAGACAAATATGACGGAACAACGGGCCGTCTTCGGAATGGATGCATCTGTATGGGAAACGATAAGTACCGTCCGCAGGTTGCCTGCATTGTCAATCAACAGAGTGCGCGCAGTTAATACTGTCGTTTTGCCGATGAGTGCCGCTCACGTTTGCTATCTGCCATTATCATTTATCAGACGCAGAAGGGTATGGGGGTAAATTAGGAGTTTGGCTCGTCAGGATCGAGATGAAACTAGATGAGTAACAGTATAGTTATGGTTGTAATAGAGTTGAAATTGCGAGCGCAACACAAGTAGAAGAACTGTTGAAAGCGTATCACTTCGTCTACCTGGTTAGCGACTATAAGGGTACGGGTGGGTCAGTTACAATGCGTGTGTCCTATTATCCTACAGTCCTGCTGTATTCGTTGTCGTCAGTCACAGCTCCGACAAAGTCGATGTCAATTTCCTTCCCCATCAATTCATTAGTCGTCATCACGAATCATTTCGTGCTCTTCAATGAATCTTCTCTTCTTGGCCATCAAATCATGTTCATTGGAAATAGGTCACAGGGTATATGATTGCAACTCGTTTCCTTTTGTTCACTCACGACTGCCTCCGTACGACCGCAGTTAGTGCACGAAATAGCATATTGTTTTACTAAATGAACTTGCTTATTATTACTAATATCGGTAAGTTGTTCTTCTTCTTCTTCATAACGAAACATACGTGTACGGGGTATGAGTTGTGTTTGTGTGTGTCGGGATCACAATAATGTCCGAATTCCTCGCCGGTCTTGAGGGGGCACACAGTGAGCTGGCTATAGCATTGTATCGTCTATTTCTTTTGTCACTTTGTGCTCGCAGCATTTGCCTTCGGTCTATTTATTGTATAATAGCTATGGATACAGCGGGGTTCAGCTTCTTTGCTAACAAAAAATTCAGTGGGCTGTGACGGATAGAGGTCTGTTAGCTGAACTGGGGAGCAAAATCTAGTGAGGGGCTAATGAAGTGGAGAGAAGGATTCTTGTTTTTCATTTTCTCTCTAGAAGAGGAAAAAGGAGATGAAGTGCGGCGCTCGTATGTGCGATCGATCAAGATATCGCCACTAATCGGCAACAATGCTACAATAACCGTGTATAACAATAATAGCTTGAATTTTACTGAGCAATCGTTCATTGTTATGTGGGGACTCTCTGTCGTAAATTGAAGGCAGCTAGCCAGCCAGCCAGCCAGCCAGCCAGCCAGCCAGCTTGTTTCGCTTGCTTTTTTTCATGGTAGCATTAGGAATAGTAATCATAAAGAGCTTCCGGACACAGTGGTGGTATGTAGCTAAGCCGACTTCCCACTGTCAAATCGATTGATGATCGGCCGATTCATGCGCGTATGGGCCAGGCTCCCGGCAATAGCTTGTTGCTCTGTACGACTTTTAAGGGAAACAGCACCATATGATAGATTTCCTTAAAATAGAGGAAGGTCGCGCTTCAGTAGGGCAATAAAGGTGTATGTAGTACGATGGTGTAACCATCAACACCCGTGCGGTGAGAACCAGAGTAATAATTAAGTACAGATAATTAGAATCACCGTTATATTAAGCAATATTCGACACGCGCATTGATCTAAAATCTCTTTCGTTCTCACTTGGTCTACTTCTTTTCTAGAATCTTTTGTTGAACATGATAAACTCTAGCGCGAATATAGCGTCGTCCGTCGCGTTCAGGAATTACGAATACGGCAGATATTTTCGGCGTAAACAGTAAAAATCGCTACGCTATTTTAATTATCTCATATTATCTATTATTAGTATTATGAAAAATAAACTAGAGTAAATTGGAGCTATGCTAAGTTAGATCCTAGTACATTTTTGGTGCGCTTGTGATTTTTGACGAGCAGATATCTAGTCCCGTTAATTGGCGACGTAAAGCGATCAGTTACGGAGAACAGAAAGGAATCGAAGATAAACTATGTATCGAAAACCGGCGTGTTATAAAATCGGAAGTGGAGTAGCATTCTGCTTTTGGTGATCGATAAAAAAATACTGCGTTATTATATTAATACATCAGTAGATACAACAATACGATACTATGGACCGGATCTTCACTCTTCATTGGTCGTAATAAGAGCGCGGGTAGACGAACGGATGAGCTTCTAGATAGATTTCTGTGTTTCTTTCTTTTGCAATTATTATTGTTCGCTCTGTTACAGGGATTCTTGTCGATGTCTGTGTGGTACTATTAGCAATAGTACTTTGTGGCTGTCTTTTTTCGGGTTGCTGTTAGCCTTCATATGGTTCTACTATCATATTCTCATCATTGTAGGTCTCCATAATCCGTCCACACCTATTGTACATATTAGTTGAACTCAATACCATCAGTATCATCTGAATATCACCATTGTGACTACAAGTAGTAGTAGTAGTAGTAGTAGTAGTAGTAGTGCAACCAGCTTCGTCATGCTCATCACTATCATTGCTGCTGCCGCTGCTAAATCACACGCAATCTGTATCTCGTCCATATATATATATAGATGAGCGTGTCTGTATGGTTAGGCGTTCGCGGGTTCGTACTCTCGCGAATGTTACTGCAGTTACTATTTTCCAAATTGTAATGTTTGTTTGTTTGTTTGTTTCGGTTGTTACTATTGCGGTCGTTGCTTTTGTCAAGGCTGCAGGCAGTTATTATAGGTGGTAGTGTTGTCTTACAAAAGCAGTACTAGAATAATAACAAATGGTTTATCTTCTGTTATTATTGTTATGGTTATGATCATCCGCAGTGTGGCTTCGTTTCTCCTATCATTTAGATGGGATGGTCAGTGCCGTCGCCCAGCAATACCATAAGGACATGAGTCAAATCGAAGTCAAGTGAAAGCTTGAATTCATGTATCCAACAACTGTTTACTTTACCAGTAATATACTAGAAGAACACAATTTTTCTAACGCTTTTGTTCGCTCTATCCGGTGTTTGCTACTACTTCTTTTTCATTCTGTCTTTTCTCCGTAGTATTATTATCAATATCAAGATCAATCATTACGTTTTTTTTTTTTTTTTCCGCTCTGTTAGCTAAAATCACTTATTTACTCGACGATAAGAATAATCAGCTATTTACCGCTGTCGTTGATCTTGATAGTAGAGATGTTATAGTAGTATATCGTTGCTTGTTCTATTAGTTTAAGGCTAGTCTGATTGTTGTTTTCGTGGATCACTGTTACTTTCGTTTTGCCTTTCTTTTCGTTGCACATCGTTTTTGTCTTCTACAAATTGAACAGCCGCATCCATCCGGTAGCCGAGCCAGTCGTCGTGAGATTATTTATTTGAACACGATTGATAGAAAAGGGAAAATTTCGACTATTTTGCCTTCCTTTGTTTCCACAGTTTGGGAAAAAGCAAATGCTCATTTCGGCCAGACGCCTGCTCAGCGCCGGTTCGTATAGTCGATTAGTACACCTAGATCGAAACTGACATTTGAAGAAGGGGAGCGGGGGCTTTTTCTGATGAGGAAATGCATTTCTCAAACAGAAGTATTTTGATATAAGACAAATGTCCAATTGCTATGGATAATAGAGTATCGGGAAAAAAACGGGCCCGTAAAAGTGAAATATTAAATCGAATCGAGACACAAAAAAATCGAGTCATAGCAATCATTGGGGAAATTCAGGTGTTAGAGAAAAAGGAACAATGAACGAAATGAAGATCACAGAAAACAAAGGAAAGAAGAGTACGCAAGGTAAGGTAGAACAGGACGAAAAAGAAGCAACCTCAAATTAGGGGTCTCGTGACTAGAATATATGTATATATATATATGTATGTATGTATGTATATATATATATATATATATATATATATATATATAAATGCATATTTTTAACAAAAACTGTAGGGGAGTCGAATCTTATCTCAGCCTCGTCTCCTCGGGAACCGATGAACGAACTGCGCTTAGATTCTCCGAGAAAACTTATCCCTGCGGTTTCGGACGGAAGGACGTGTCTGTCGGATAGACTGATATAGAGATGTTTATCTTTGTCTTTTGTCAACACTCTTGAAAGAATAGCTGTTGTTGTCATTGTTGTGTCTTGAAATCGTCATCTTTTGTCTGCACTTCGAATGGAATGGATATAGCGTATACTGTGTCACATATGTGTCTTGTACACCTTGGTCAGCTGCTGCTGTTGTCGTCATAGTCGTAGCAGTAGTAATAGTTGTTGTTGTTGTTGTTGTCGTTTTGCTGGATCGCATCGAGCAGATGTGGATGTTTTTGCAGTTGTCGTAGGTCCTCATCTGTTATTTGTAGGCCTGTCGCTCGTCGTCGTTACCTCATTCTCCTTGCTTGTTGTCTTTTTGCTGATCGCAGCTGGGGTGCTGGCTAATCCTTCCTTTGGTTTCGATTGGATCACTCTGTCCGGAGCCGGACGGCCAACTCTTCGATTGCGTCTCGCTCTGAAGGCCGTCCCGTCACGTCCGTCCTGCTGCCGCCAGCGTGTCTGGTCTGTCTGACGCTGCCAAGCAGGAAACTCACTGTAGCAAGGCCCTCGCGCACCACTCGTGCCGCTTCGAACTGATCCCACTAATTTAGCCGTCAGCCCACTTGTCTTGAAACACTAGGGCCAACATGGATGCCTGCCATTTTCTTCTGTGCGTACGCCGATAAAGTGCGATGGGCCTTGCTAACGCTCCCTCTCGCCCTGCTCTGTGTCCTCCAGCCCGTCAACAATGGAACTTTCCCAGTGGTCATCCAATTCTTGGATTTCATTGTCGTTGTTCTTGTCTGTTATCGTCTGTCGAGTCTGCTTCCCTATTTGGTGAACTTTACTTGGGCGAAATTTCTTGAAGAATCTTTTTTTGTCACTTGTTGCCGTACTTCATTTTGTTGTCGAGCCAGTTACGTACTGGGAAAATACCATCTTGGCAGGGAGAAAAGCTGTTGAGTTCCCTCAAGCATGGCAGACCCGCCGCCAGTGTCCGCGGCGCCACCCCCTGAGCCAACAGTGACGTTAGCTGATGCGGCTGTATTACCCCCAACACCGTTCACAGAGCCCGAACCTACACAAGCACCTGCCGCTGCTGTTATTGTTGCTGCTGCCTCCTGGTGGCTCGACCTGTTGCTGAGATCAAGGCTTTTGGAGCCGATTCCCAGATTGAGCGCCAAAGCCGGACTCGAAGTCCGTGATGTTAGGGGGCTGCTGTGAGCGCTATTGCCGAAGGCGCCGAGAGCCGGGGCTGCGAGACCGGTCAACTCGAGGGAAGCCGTTTGGGCGAGGGAAAACACCCCCGAATCCAAGATGGACCTGGAGGCTTCCGCTTGTGGGGCGGCTGAGCCGCCGCACGAGGGCGGTCCTGCTGGTCAGTAATGATCAGGCAGGCCCATATGCAGTGATCGGGCGATCTCCGAGTCTACGTTTTCGGGAGGAACCCCCACGTTGGTGAGCAACGATTTGAGCACAGTTAGTTCCTGCAATCACATAAGCGAAAAATAACAGTGAGAGGGGACATCCCGTATTGGACAAATCATATCATCAATGACTGACACAGTACGTCTTCAAGTTTGGGGTGGTCCCTCACCTGTCAGGCAAGCATCGCTGAACTAAAGTACAGCAGAAATAAAACAATAAAGCAGGCAACACAAACGAAAGCCAAACGAAAAACCGAACCAATCGTCCCAACTTACCTTAGTGAGCATCTCAACTTTTTTTCTGAGGCCTTCGTTTTCGCGGTTCAACTCAGTCACTTTTCGTTCGGTGTCTCTTGTCCTCTGCTTTGCCTTTTCCCTACTTTTCCTCACTGCGATATTGTTGCGTTCCCTCCGCCTTCTATATTCCTCCGAAGTCTTGTCAACGAACTTCTTTCCAGTCTTCTGCATGACGTTCGGCTGCTTGAGCTGCGCTTTGTGGGCCAGAACCTGACCGGGAAGGCCGCTTAGTCCATTGTGCGCAATACCTCCGAGGTGTCCATTCTGAAGGCTGCGATGCTGCTGGTTCAGATCGTGTGAAAAGATGTTCACAGGAACAGTAGGCGCAGGTCGAGGTACTTGCGCCTGGTGCACCGTATGCTGATGCATCTGATTGCCGGCCACGCCGGGAACATTTACATTGCCGGGTAAGATCTGACCGGACGTGCCCGATAAGGCCGGGAAGGCCGCCGCCAGGAGATTGCGCCCATAGGCGGCCTCCCGATTGTAGTCGTTCTGATCCAGCGGTTCCCTCTTGATAGGCACCGCAGGAGAAGGGGTGTCGAAGCGGTCTGGCGATCCGGTTAACCGCTCGCTGTACTGCCCAATGTTAGCTAGGCTAAGACGACCGCCGCGCTGTTGCTGCTCGGTGAGTAGATCCGTGAACAAGATATCGGACTCACCAAGATTTGAGCCTTGCGAGCTCTCCGATGACTGGGAGCTGCCAAGAGACGACGTCAGCGAGGTACCACTCAAACCACTTCCCCCACCGCCACCACTGCCGGCGTTGTTCTGTGCCGCGATGAAGTTACCGAGGTCGAACCCGCCGAGATCAGACAGGTCCGGAACGACGCAGCCGTCACCGAACTCAAAATGGCTGAGACTGCCCGAGCTAGGAACTCGGGCTGTGGTCGGGCTACTGTTAGCCGAGCTAACGGACAGTGCCGGGGTGGCGGACGTCGGCGACGAGCTGGCACAGCGCTGGCCGCCGGCGAACAGCGCCGCTGGGGCGGACCCGCTTGCCGGCTGCTGGTTCGATTGTCGCTTTGGGTCTTCACCACTGCTCACAGTCTCATATATTTGTCTGTCTGGAGAATCCATGTCGGAGCATGTTGCGGAACGCTCACTATTTGTAGGATTTATTTTGGCAAGTGGCTGTAGGCACTAGCAGATGGCGGCACGCTCCGACGATCGTAGGATAGTGGCGGCAGGTCGTGGCTGCACGAGCCACGTGACGCCGTTTGCTAATGGCGGAGCCGGTCAACGCTCACGCAGCCGATTTTTACGCAGAAGCTTACAGGAAGGAAGTAAGTTTAGGAGGGAGTCGGGTTATGCAATCTTGCCGTGCTGTTGCTCTTGTTGTTATTGCGGTAGTAGCCTTTGCGATGCTTTTTTCGTTTGGTTCAACACTCTCGACGACGGGTCCGCTATATCGCGATGGGAGGTGGTATAAGTTTCAGTTTTGCGGGTAGATGTTCGACTTTCTGTCCTTTGAGTTTCGGTTTAGCAGTTTCAGCATGGATATTTCTTTGCTTCCGCTGTGTTTCTAATTGATCACTGAACAGTGCGGATACGTGCACTCCAATTGTTTTTTGTAGATTGTAGCTCGTTGTCGTTGGCCGTGCATCCGTCCCTACGTGCTGTACGCGCTTTGATTAAACAGCTTCTCTGGCACTGTGTCGATGAACGATGTCACTTCAGTCACGTAATCCAATGGCACCAGAGGTAGTCACTTGTTCGAAGCACTAACAACAAATTGACGATGATTCACAGAACTCCTGAAGAACAGATACCTGCTTATTCTTTTCCCGTTTGCTTGCCCCTTCGTTTACTGAATTTTGTTTTTACTACGTTCCTCTTTGTGCTTGCCGCTTCGCTGCACGAGCACACAATGCGAAGGCAATGAGCGCAATACCCAAAGGGCCTTAGTGTATTTGTGAGGCACTGTGCCAACGTCAACTTGGTCGTTCGGTCGGTAAATCTTTACCGTTTACTTCGAATTGTCGTAATAACACTTGTAGTAGAAGTAGCATTGGCAGCAGCGGCAGTAATAGTTACTGCTATAAGTTGAATATCGCAATTGTTTCTGTTATGCTGATAGTTGTAAGAGTGGTAGAAATAGTTATACGGTATTGTTATTGGTATTATTGTAGATTGATAGATTAGAGCACCTAGCACTAAGTGTGAATGTGGATTGGAGTTCGCTTAGAGCCGGCTGCAATGCAGTGCAACCTAGCTTTCGTCACGATACTAAATAAACGGAGCGGAGCAACTTAGCGCACTTCCGGACTCACTGCCTAGCCCGACGACGTCTCAATATTGAATGGGGCAACGGTAGCGCGGAAACTGTGAAATTGCCCACGGCTCGCAGACCCTCGCTAACTAGTAAAAGCGGAGAGAGAGCGGACCCGACGATTGGCCAGAACCACACACAACGCTGCGCGATTGGACCGGAAAGCTGTGACGTCAGTGAAGGGAGAGGCCCACACACGTGCAAAGCGGCGAGGGCGCCAGCACTCCGCGCGATCACTCACTAGCACACCCGGTCACTGCCGTGGCCGCCGTCGTCGCCGGCAGTCGTCACTCGGCGCTGTTCGGCGGCTGGCCACTGGCGACTGGTTTGATTTGCCTGTCAGAACGCTGCTATGGGCAGGGAAGAAAGCAGCACGTAACTAGAACGAAGCCAGCACGACCTCGCGGTTAGCCACGATGGTGACTAGTCGTCGTGAAAAGGGCCCCGCTGGTTAGCAGGCGAGGGATTCAGCAGAGAGAAAAGCAATACGACGGCAGGTAAAGGGTGGCCAACCCAACCCAACCCGACCCAATTCAACCAAACTCAGCCCAACTGACACCTACTAGCCGTTCCGGAGGAAAGAGGTAGACTGAGAGGGGAAGCAGCCTGCCAGAAGCGCCTCGACCGTCCTGTTCTGGAGACGGGGCTGCGTTGAAAGCAAGGCGAGGCAGCAACTGATGACGATCGCGCTGCTGCTGCTGCTGCTGCTGATGTGATGGCAAGGGAAGCGAAAAATGAGGGAGAGAAGCTCCCTGCGTTACCTTACATTGAAGCGAGTTTGGGTCCTGAAAATTACCCCCGAACCATCCCGTTCCCATTCACTGTCCGGTTGCTCGCCTCCTTCGCTCCTCGCCTTCTCCAAAAGGCGCAGATCAGAACACCTTCGGAGTTCCGAGCAAGAAAGTAGAAGGGATCCAGATAGGTCGACGGTAGTATATTGGGGCTTTCTCGTGACTCGGTATTGCCCGGAGGCAGTTTAAGGCGAGTAGGATAGACAAGAACACGATCCAGAATGACGTGAGAGTCACAACCACCGTCTATTCAGTCTGCTGGAACGGGCGCGTGAACAACAGCCGAGTCGGAAGTCCCATTGCAGTTGTGGCGTTCGCCGCGTGGGGCAGATGACGCTGATTGGCTGACTGTTTCTAACAGGAACGTCAGGACAAGAGAAAGAGAACGGTGTATCTCTAAAGCAATGGACACTGGGGTGGCCTTTTCAAAAGGAAACTAGAGCCCTCCAGCATTCTCGTAGAGTGGAGACAGGGGTATAGGCAGTCTCGTCCTCCGTCCATTGTGACCTTTTGAAGGCTGGATAAACCGCTTCTGAGTGTGTAGGTCAACTAGGCAGTTACAGGCAAGAACAACCACACAGTTAACTGACACAGTAACTATATGCTCACTGTGAACCAAGCCAAGTAGAAGCAGGCGAAAAGAGCCAGGATATTTAATGTTTGCTTTGCGATGCGACAGGCAAATGAAAAATTGATTTCCGGTCGTAAGGTCCCTCCTAAAGTGCACAGAGGATCCGTTCACAGACGTCGATCGAACGCTACACCCAGTTGACGTAAATGGTACCGACAAAACTTGCTGCAACGCTTTTTAGCATAAACGTAAGCCAGTTAATTAAGTAGCTTACCATCTTAGTGAGACGGTATATTATATGCTGTATTATTTACTCTGATATCTGTATGTATGTACGTGCGATTCAAAGTGTTTCTGAGTGGCACTCACATTCAGGCCCATATCTACGTATTTTTTTTATACCTGTATAATATAAACATGTCATATTATTTTAAAACAGTAAGTTTTGTAACGAAAAGCATGGCATCGCATCATTAAAATATCTGTCCACTCTTATTTTCAAACATCAGGCTCATTCACATTGCCTCTTTGGGCGTTACCCAACGCCGCCCTGTGTACGTATCGACCTGTCAACGACGTTCGATAAGATAAATCGTAAACAGCTAGTCAGTAAGCTTGACACTCTTCGCATAGATGACAGTCTGGTAATATGAATTAAATCATATCTGAATAGCAACTGGTTTTCAGCAAAAGCTAAACACTTTTCCAGATCCAGCTTTGTATAATTTGGAATTTTGCCACTTTGCTAGTCTTCGTTCCAAGCTGTACGGTATCCGGTAGGCAAACTCTGCCGTGCAACCCGCATTTCGAGAGTGACATTGTCTAGAGGGTCAAGTATAGCTATAATTGAATCCTGCCCTACTAGACGGTACAGTAGACCAATTCTATTTCAAATTTATTGTTACAATTTCCCGCCGTTTTGCAACAAAAAAAAAACTCGAATACGCCAGTTAGGCACCAGGGCAAATGTCCCACACGTTTATATTAGCTATTCCGGATCTCATGGAGAGTAAACCATTAACACTCTATTTCCTAGTTCTTAAGCCACTACCTCATGCTGAAAATGGTTCAACCCTTTTGGGCTAATCGGAATATGAAACGTTACTTCACAAAACTTGTCAAAACTTCCAACCGGTCTCTGTGCTATCGCGTTCAATAGCATATTCAAATATAGAATGGAAAGATGTACTTAGAAAGATGTAATAAGAACTTTACGTTTGTGTCCGTCACACTGAACTCGAAAGGCCATTGCACTCTTGAATTGTTTCCCAAGTTTTCAACCGTTGTTGAGAAAACTCAATGTCTGTACCTGTTCCGCTCTACATTGAGTTACGGGGAAATTTTTTTTCTATTGCTTATCATAAAATAGCGCAAAGCATCGTAGTTTTCTCATTATATCTACGTATAAACATCGTTGAAGTTTTTCAGATGTACATACACACACACATACTCTAGGACAGACAACGGATAATAAAGACATAACTGTCATATATATATGTACATATATGTGCGGGTTGAATATAATGCTAATAGTAAGGCAAATCAATACAGGTTTGGCAGAGTCAACTCACAATAAGACACGGTCATGGAAGTACGCTGGAACCAGCTGCTGAAGGTTCTAGCATCGATACGACGCATTCAAAAAAAGATGCTAGCCTTGTATGTCCATTATGTTAAAAGTGACGAGATATTTCCAAAAAACAAAAGAAAAGAAAGAAATGCCACCTATTTTTATTCACTAGGCCCCGGAGGGAACTAGCGGAACGAATAAGAAACTGCCACTAATATCCGAGAAATTGAAGGCCATTATGCATGGCCCTAATTAAAAAGAGGAGTCTCGCATGTACTGTTTATAATATATGTCAACACGTATAATTAAAGAAGAAAAGCTTTAGATCACATAGCAGACAGGCGTTTTATAGCGATAGCAATGTCAGATGGCTGGCAGAGTTTCTATTGATCTCGACGGATTTTTTAATGAGATGCGAAGGTAACTCATACAGAGTTGAACGGCTTTTGTATGGATCATAGTCAGCTAAAGCAAAAATGGGCAACGTGATATTTAACTTGTTCTCGGTTCTTTGAAGCCAATTGTCTCCTCACAATTAAAACGTATTATTAAAATTAATAACGTATCTCATTTGCAAGGAAATCCACCTTGGATTACACCTGAAGAACCTCTCTCGTACTAACAAACAAGCGCAGAACGTAATCAAGGCGTCTATTCTAAAATCGAGTAGACCACCTGTGAATAAACACCAACTTAAAAAAAACGTTGCACAGCGTGCGTCTACTTTTACGCTATTTAACGTATTATAGCTGAACGATGGCAACAGGTTGTGGAATCAAATAGAATGATTCTACTCAAATCATATAACCGAGCCTAGGACACCCAAAGGAATCCAGTGGGTCATTCTTCTACGTGGTTTAAGCAATCTTCCTTTTTCCACATTAGAACCGATTATCCTAGTTCAGGTCCTCGCCAAAGGAAGGACTCAAACAGGGAGCTTGCTGTTTTTTCAAAGGTTCAATCGTAGTTAGTTCCTCGTTTGGCTTTCAAGGACGTTCCGCGAAAGAGTTCCTGCTGGTGAGTATCTAGAATCTTTTATCGTTCATCCTCCATTAACGTCCTCCTGCGCCCCGCCGGAACGATGCTTACAAGATGGGTAGCATTCTGTAACAGTTGTGGAAACGCTACAAATTCAAGTGCCGCTTTTCAAACATTCGTCCAATCCCGGTAACGATTAAAAATATTTTTTTGACTGGACCAAACTGGCAAAAAACAAAAAGTTGCACAGTTTTGCTTCATGTATCTTCGTATATCGCTGCGACGCGCGAAAGGTTTAACAATGATAAATGTGTTAACTATTCCATCAGACGGGGGGCCGCCGTTACAAAACGAAACTATACGACAACGCGTCCCTAACGTTAGCAGGCAAATACGTTATCAAATAAGCTATTTATAGAACGATGATACCAGGAGTCATCTACTGATTGATCACACCAAAATTCGGCACTTCCTATCCAACAACAATGAAGTCTTGTTCCAAAAGTTCAAACTGGTTGGGCTGGCAATAGTAAACTTTTGTTTTACTATTTTTTTATTAACTTAGTTGTTTTTGCCACGTTTGGGGGTTTAAACCCAAGTAAGACCAATTCGTGAAAAAGACCGGAATCTAGAACGGAAAGTTAAGCTATTTAAGTAGTGCGGGCTAGTGTACGCTAGGATGCATCTAGGTGTTGCGTTTTTTTGCTTTCCATACCGTTCGGTGACCTCCCTTCTAAATGGTCTTTATTTAGCTATAGCTAGGTCTTACCTCATGATTTTATTACCTCTTTAGTAAATAACTACTGCGAAGTTACTTAGCTCTAATACAGAATAGTAAACGAATGATTGTAGTATTTTGCTATAATATTATAATAAATTAGACACCCAACTAGCTAGATCTTTACATTTTACGTTAGTTCTATTTGAAGACGTAACTTGTTGGAGGCGACAGATCCTTAATCGGGCGGACTGAACAAATACGATGCGCTTCTTTTGATCTTAATTACTTCACAGGAATATCGACGGAGTCCCTGTTTGGAACGTGCACGAAATTGTCCCGAGGTATAAAATCCACCTACGCAAGTGGGTTTTGTGTACACTTTAACAAAAAGTATGTGGCTTGCCTCTCCTGCGGCAAATGTTGATTGTTC